TGAAACCAAAGTAGAACTTTTTGGTATAAACTCAACTCGTCGTGTTTGGAGGAAGAAGAATACTGAGTTGCATCCCAAGAACACCATACCTACTGTGAAGCATGGGGGTGGAAACATCATGCTATGGGGCTGTTTTTCTGCCAAGGGGACAGGACGACTGATCCGTGTTAAGGACAGAATGAATGGGGCCATGTATCGTGAGATTTTGAGCCAAAACCTCCTTCCATCAGTGAGAACTTTGAAGATGAAACGAGGCTGGGTCTTCCAACATGACAATGATCCAAAACACACCGCCCGGCAACAAAGGAGTGGCTCCGTAAGAAGCATTTGAAAGTCCTGGAGTGGCCTAGCCAGTCTCCAGACCTCAACCCCATAGAAAATCTGTGGCGGGAGTTGAAAGTCCGTGTTGCTCGGCGACAGCCCCAAAACATCACTGCTCTCGAGAAGATCTGCATGGAGGAATGGGCCAAAATACCAGCTACTGTGTGTGCAAACCTGGTAAAGACCTATAGTAAACGTTTGACCTCTGTTATTGCCAACAAAGGTTATGTTACAAAGTATTGAGTTGTATTTTTGTTATTGACCAAATACTTATTTTCCACCCTGATTTACCAATAAATTCTTTACAAATCCTACCATGTGGATTCATGGATTTTTTTTCACATTCTGTCTCTCACAGTTGAAGTGTACCTCTGGTGCAAATTACTGACCTCTGTCATCATTTTAAGTGGGGGAACTTGCACAATCGGTGGCTGACTAAATACTTTTTTGCCCCACTGTATGTCATCAGGATATGGGCCAGGCCTGGCATAGATGGCACTGTTTATGCGATGTGGCATGCCATATCTGGCCCAATTGTGGTTCGGTTTATGTGGCCCAGGCTCATAGAAAACAGGTCTGGCCCGGATCTGGCATCAAGCTGGCCCTTCTGACCGACTGGCGTCACGTCAGGGTGTATATGTCAACCAGATGTTGACATACACCAGTTATGTTCCTATTTTCCTACTTTAGTTAGAAGACCCAAATGCCATGTTGCAATACTATACTGCTATGGTAGCCAATGTTTCAAATGCAGGTTTGAGACTGTACACTGTATCCAAAACCTAGTGAGGGTTTACTCATGTTTATCACTGTGTGGCTGTAGCTCAGGAGGTAGAGCAGGTCACCTACTGTTCAGGAGGTTAGTGGTTCGATCCCTGGCTCCTCCAGTCTGTATGCCAAGAGTAATGAATGTGTATGAATGTAGTTATGAAACACTCAGTTTAGAGAAAGTGTGTGAATGTGACATGATAGAGCACTTTGAGTAATCTGGGATAGGGAAAAGCGCTATGCGAATCAGTCCATTCACTGTCCGAACAGAGTTTCTTCATGTTACTTTTGCACTATTATGTTCCAGCACATGTTGTTATTACATGTCCTGATTAAGGTACACATTACGCTGACATCTGGGGCCAGAGCTGAAACTGTTCTGGGCCAGCACGGTGTGTCTGCTGCTGGTCCATGTGTGGGCCACATCTGGCAAACCAGATCTGGGCCACCAACAAACCTTAGAAAGAGTAAAAACACTGTTTTTATATCACTGTACACACACCTGTGCCATTGCTACCATCGTAACTATGGTTGTGTTTTTGGGGAAGCACTGATGGAAGTTGGTTGTTTCCAGGGGTGGGAAGTAATGAAGTACAAATACTTTGTTACTGTACTTAAGTACAATTTCCATGTATCTGTACTTTACTTGAGTAGTTTATATTCTGACTACTTTTTACTTTTACTACCTATATTTTTAAACAAATATCAATACTTTCTAATTCTTACATTTTCTAAAAACATGCTCATTAATTTTGCTTTAATGCAATTGGGTTGAGTTATTATTTTGTCATTCTGAGCCTTCAAACATCAAACCAATTTGAGTCTACACAGAAACACATGAAAGGCAATCCTGTTTGTGTATTATCGCCACATAAAAAGAGACTATGTGTGCCAAAGTCAAGTGCCAAAGTTGGACGGTGGTTTTTTTGTTTGTTTGTTTTGTTGTGTTTTTGCCACAGTTCCAGAATGACTGCAGGTCTCCATAAGTTGCGGTACTTAAGCATTTAGCTAGCACTACTGAAGAGGAGTGAACATAAAGTGAGTGACTTTTTTAAGTGTCAGGTGATTTCAAATACAGCGTTTCTATCAGCTCAAAAAACATCAGCAAACACACAAACTGTTTGTGTGTGGTTTGTCTCACAGTGTGTTGCTATCTAAAGGTCCAGCTACTGCATTTCACAGGGAGAGAAAAGAAAGAGAGCTAACGTCACTTACAGATGGAGAAAGACAAGAAAGACAGGACAGGAGAGGAAGAAGAGAGTTTAGATTTAAAGGTAAGGACTGCTCAATGGTATTTGATAAACTGGAAATTTAAAGCTTACATATAAGGCCTCGTGTTTTTAATCAGATATTAGGTAATCAGATAAACATGTAACATTGTGTTTTTCATATTGTGAAACATGCTGCAAATCAAACTGAGGCGGAGTAACTACACATGATGATTTATCAGCTATGATAAAGCATCATGCAACGTTAATTACTTGTCACCTCACAGGACATTGATCAAAACTGTCTAATATGTCTCTAATCAGAGAGATTTGTGTGTAATTACAAACGACAGCAAAAGCACTTCCAGTGTCACCTCAGTATGTTTGGAAAATCTTTTTTGACAAACTCATTATGGCTCAGCTTTTTCTGCTGCTGAAAGCAAGGGAGTACAGCATGTCTTTCTTCTCTAATGACCAGTATGCCTTAATGCTGGCCAGAAATAAATGCCTTAATCTTTCCTTTCTGCTTGTTCCAATTACTATTGCCATATGAGTCTGTTCTGTACTACCGACCTGTACAAACACGCAAACTTAAACGTACGATTAGTATTTTTTTGAGGTTATTTAATTTAAAAAAATATATATACATAATTAGATTGTAATTACATTTCAAAAAATGGATGCATTCTCATAAACTTATAATGAATACATTAAAAATACACAGGAGCAGGCACTGGTTTGTGGAAATCGCCATGTTCCCCCAACATATTTGAATATAGTGGTCTGTTTTATCGTCAGAAAAGAGGTCCCCTTCCCTAAATAAGTAAAAAATAAATAAATAAATAAAATGTATTATTATTAAAATGCAAAGGAAAGCGAAGGCCACCAGAACCGTAATGAAATATCATCCTCTTCATCCTCACCTGAAGCTTTATACCCTGAACTAAAGTCAGGGCTCTAATGCACAAAAATACACATAAACATGCGTCATTATTTCTAATATTGTCCCCGTTACTTAGGAGATTGGCCATGGGATCCTCCTGTCTCAGGACCGCTGGCTACCCGCTAAACAACAAGTGTGCTAAAAATCCCATTTTAACAATATTACATAAAAGTCAAGGACAGTTCCATTAATGGACCAGGAATACTAGATTTTAGTTAGCTGGTTAGATTTGGTTAGGTTGACATAATTCACTTTCCCTGTTCCATATGTTGCACCTGAAAAAACATCATTTATTGCAAGTAGGGATGGGTATTGATAAGGTTTTCACGATTCCGATTCCATTTTCGATTCTGTTTAAAGATTCGATTCTTTATCGATTCTCTAATCGATTCTTTTTAAAAAGGAGAACACTAAGGTCGATTAGCTTAGAACTTTGTTTTATATCTTCTCTTTGAATAAGATAGAAATTTAGGAGTAACATGGCCATACAAACCCAACAGTGAGATCTTAAGAGATCCAGCCTACGGCTCTTCAATGGGGTGTCACAGGGTCCCCAGGACCTAAATGCAACGCACAGTAATGGCAGGTTTTGTAATAAGGCAGATCGCGCTAACATAATATGCACTGTTAGTTAATTATTTACCTGCCGCATTAACAGGAGAGGACGTGCAAATGTTACCGCTGCTGCTGGGTTGAGATTCACGAGTCCGGAGCGAATTAAAAACACGACATTCATTTATGCTCATCGTGTGTTCTGTGAGCAAATGCTTTTGCATATTCGTCGTGTTTCCTCCCTTAAACGAAATATCTACTTTGCAAGTATTGCAAGTTGCCCTGTGGTCATCCATTCTCGTAAAATATGACCAAACATTTGAGCGTTTGATGCCAGGTAAATGATGCTCCACAACGTGGTGATGTCATTCGGGGCGACTGGAATCAATAAGGGAATCGTTTGCAAAAATGGCAAACAATTCCAAGGAATTGAAACAGTGGGAACCGGCTCTCAACAAGAACCGGGTTTTGATACCCATCCCTATTTGTAAGCCCTCCCTGCCTGCCATAACAGGATGTGACAAGATTAAAGACCGTGGAGAAAAAAGGGTTGTTTTCTTAATTTCATGAAAATGCATGTGCGTGTCAATGTTATCTTCAGATAGCAATGCAAATTATGCTCATTAAATATATTTTGAATAAAGAAAAATTAAAAAACAAAAACCTACCTTCTGGCTTGACACATACCTGCGTGTTTCTGTGACATAAAGCACAAGCTGACATTTTCCCCCTGATACTACTGAGTGACTTTCATGTCAACATGAAACACATGCCTGATCATTTAGTGCACTTGGAGCTGATCAGTATTTTAAAATTGAGCTGCAGTGCCTACCACTGATTTCAGGGACTTCACTGATTTGCAGGATTTAAAGCAGTAGATGTTGTTGCGATAAAGAATGTATCAAGATGGTGTCATTCTTTTATTCATCAGACTGCTGTAAGAAATGTGTATTATTTCAGGAATGATGAATTAATGAATCAATGTTTTAATATCTTCTCCTTCAGCAGTAGTGTGGCTAGCACTGGCTGGAGAATTTGCAAGACCAACTTTTTATCTTTGACAACCAACTACTAATTTTGATATAATGCTAGTCAGTGAAATAGATTTTCATTTTCATTTGGTAATTTATTTAGTTAAAATTTGCTTTGCAAAAACACCTATTTTTATGGCTAGCTATTTCACATAATAGTTTCACATCTGCACACACCTCTCCAGAGAAGGCCTGTCCGTTAAGTAGGTGCTCTGAGCCCAGGACATCCTCACTGCCAAAGTGTAGCCGGATCTCCTCCAGACGGTGGCTATACGTCATTGGCCCTCCAGAGATGTTAACCAGGTGCTCCTTGTCCAGTCGAAGAGAGACGTGACGGCCTGTGTTGTACATTGTTCCTCCCACCTGAAAAAAACAAACAAAACAGATGGCGCACAGGTGATTAAATATTAATATGAGGTGCAGTTGTGAGCGGGACAAACATTACGACAAAGTTAATTATCAGTTTCACCAGTTATAAATAGATCATTTTTACCATACTGCCCCTATAAACCCAGGCAGCTTTTGGAGAAAACTTAAACCTGGAGCTCCAAGTGCCGGAACCATAAGATAGGTTAAATGCTTGTTGTACAGAAACAATTTTGAGGGAACACTGTTACAAAAAAGGACTAACACAATATGATTGGGTGGAAAGTGTGTAATACAATATATTCATATACCCAAAGATTATCTGCGTGCAGGTTATATAAAAAAGTGAACTGGCAGGAAGTGCTAAAGCAATACAAAAAAGTTTGACCAAATCTTACACCCGATTCTTTAAAAACTTCAGTATCTTTTGTGTTGTTGTTTTTTTTATCTGTAGGTTTAAAACACTTTTTACTGAATGGCATTGGAGAATGGTGAAGGAAATGTTGGCTTTTTTGCAATTTTTAAGCTATATCAGTTTGGCTTTTATTAATATGGAGATGTGGGTGTCTTGCATTTTTGAAATGTAAGTATTTACTAATGACATGCGGTCAACAGAACTAATGCAGAAACAGTCCCGAGGGCTTTATTTTAATTTGGCAGAACTCTGACCCAGTAAAAAGAAAGGAAGGTTGAAATAATCAGGGTAGAATCACAATTCATAATACATGGGAAATAGGGTATATATTAGTAGCTTTGCTTATTTATAATATTATTCATAATCATCAGTGTTTCAATGTAAAGCATTGGTATTCATGCCGTGAATCTGCACGGACTTCCATCTACTCTTTCTCTGCATCTGCTTCTCTTCTGCTCTTTCATTCCTTTTAGTGCTAGCGCTTTCAAAATGATCCCCCTCAAACCCCCACCCCCACACACACTATTATAAAAATCCTAGCAAAAAGGAGTCTGCCTTCACATTGTAAATATTTTATAGATGCCCTGAAAAGTCAATAATTTGAATGGAGAAACAGATAGGAAAAGAGAGTGATGCAAAGAGGAGATAAGTACTGTTAGGAGAGAGGTGTGTTGAATTTAGTGCCAAAAGAGGAAGAGTAACGAGGTAAAGTGAGGCTTTGTTGGCTCCCTGGCAAGGCAGTGGAGGTGAGGTGAGAACCCTGAAAAGGACAGAAAAATCTTATCTCCCTCAAGGTCTAAAATCAGAGACTAAGGTTCTTCCTTTGAGTCAGTGGCCAGCTGTCTTAGGAAATGGTCTGTACTGAAGTATGGTAGTTTGGTACGTAATGGGGGCAAGACATTTATATCTTCAATTCTTTACATATTTTACAGTCAATCTCCAAATACATTGAAGCTTGAATAATATTCTGTTTAGAAAAAGGAAACCAAGAAGAAATGTAATAATTTAATAACTCATTATATCATTAAAAAAACGCTAACTGGAACCAAATAAAACCAATTTATTTAGATCCTGAGACTAATCTTACGGAGAAAAAAGTGACTCCAACTTTGGTTTGGTTCACCTAGATGCTAATTTATACTCTTGTGTTTGAAAATCTGTTGAATGAATTCAGCATTAATTCTTTTAACGTGAAGTTATTTTTCTGGGTGCTTGGAACTTGGGAAAAATAGATGTACAAGTCCAAAATTACCTGACTTTCACCCCACATGACATGCAAGCAGGTCTAGCATGGTAGCTGGACAAACTGGCAAAATGCAGTGGTCTGCATGTTTGACAATGGTGACATTATTGCTTTAGTCACTGCAAAATGCTAACTCTGTCTGTATGTGTTGGGGGCCTTGGGTAAGTGTTAATGACTGGAGCCTGGCTGTGAGATACAGGTAGTGACGTGTGGTTGGAATGAGAGGTGAGGAGTGGAATTATATTTGTATTTTACAGTAAAAGAGAAACATGCAGCGTATGACTATGCAGCGTTTAAAGCTTGGAAGTACTGACATTACTTTAAGGTTTATCCTGTAAAACCGGACAAAAACATTAGCGTCTGCTGTACACTCTGCGTGGGAAGAAAACTTCTTTCTACAGCAAAAAACTTAAACCTCAAATCTGAGCAAGCACCTAGCACGCTGCTATGGGAATGTGAAATTCATAGAGAAACCCCCCGATCCTCCCACTGACATGGCAGCTACAACCCTGGGCAAACCTCCACCCGCCCCACTCCTGCTAAACAGGTTTTTTTTTACTTCAAACAAAAAACATCATCTGTTTCTGTATTTTATTCCCAGAAGCAGGGCATAAATCATTATTTTAACTGTTTAGCTCTATTCACTCCTGTTCATTGAGGATTGCCTTACTGGGGCCCCCCTGCTGTTCAGCTGGATGAATTACAGCAATTTTTTAATTTTTGTAAACATACAAAAATATTTTATTTTATGTGCTGGAATATGTGAAGCAGCGGGAATGAGGATCAGCACCTCCAAATCTGAGGCCATGGTTCTCAGCCGGAAAAGGGTGGAGTGCCCACTCCGGGTCGGGGATGAGTTCCTGCCCCAAGTGGAGGAGTTCAAGTATCTCGGGGTGTTGTTCACGAGTGATGGGAGAAGGGAGCCGGAGATCGACAGACGGATTGGGGCTGCAGCTGCAGTAATGCAGACGCTGCACCGGTCCGTCGTGGTGAAGAGGGAGCTGAGTGTAAAAGCGAAGCTCTCAATTTACCGGTCGATCTACGTCCCTACCCTCACCTATGGCCACGAGCTGTGGGTAGTGACCGAAAGAACGAGATCGCGGATACAAGCGGCAGAAATGAGCTTCCTCCGAAGGGTGGCTGGCCTCTCCCTTAGAGATAGGGTGAGAAGTTCGGCCATCCGGGAGGGGCTCAGAGTAGAGCAGCTGCTGCTCCACATCGAAAGGAGCCAGCTGAGGTGGTTCGGGCATCTGACAAGGATGCCCCCTGGGCGCCTCCTGGGTGAGGTGTTCCAGGCATGTCCCACCGGGAGGAGGCCCCGGGGAAGACCCAGGACACGCTGGAGAGATTATATCTCTCGGCTGGCCTGGGAACGCCTTGGTATTCCCCCGGATAAACTGGAGGAGGTGGCTGGGGAGAGGGAGGTCTGGGCCTCTTTGCTTAGGCTGCTGCCCCCGCGACCCGGCCCCGGATAAAGCGGATGAAGATGGATGGATGGATGGATGGTGCTGGAATATGCAGAGGATAGGTTTAAATTTATTTCAGTCAATGTTGCATCTAATTAAATTTTTGCTTGATGTAATGTGCATATAATTAAAGATAAAATCTAATAAAACAATTAATAAAAAGAGACTATTTCATTTGATTCAATTTTATATGATGGATTATGCAGAAAAAATAGAATTGCGCTGAAAGGTCTATTGCTTTATTATGTATTCAGGTTGTGTACCAGGTTTTTAAAAAGTAATAACATAACTAATTACTTTTGAAAATAAGTCATCAGTAAAGGATTACTTTCTTGGAAAAGCAATTAGTAATTAGTAAATAATTCGTATTTTCAAGTAACTTGACCAACACTGGTTATAGGTGAGGTCTGTGACCTAATTATGCCAATAATTTCATTAGAGGTGATTTAAATAAAAAAATAAAAAAAACCCAAAATAAAACCACAATAAAAAATTGTTGGAGCACCAAAATATATTCTGGAAAGATAATAAAGGCATAAAAAAGTCTTATGCAACAGGATAGACAGAGATCACATTTAGCTACATTTACCCAGCTGATGGGAACCATGCTTGAAGAATAAATCAATATACAGTTGAGTAAAACGTGCTTACTTCATCTTGTCATGTTCCTGCTGCAACAATTACAAGGCAATGTAGTGGAAAGGTTGCAAACGAAACAAAGACATTATATTCCAATCTGCTTTCTCATTATTCTTTTGAATGCCGACACGTTTGCAAGTGGTGAAGTAATTATTACACACAGATTGTGGAGTTCATATTTTCTGTGCACTGAATGTATTTATCAAAATCACTGGCTTTTGTACTTAATTCATAAAAACACAGTCAGAGAAACAGATGACCGTGTATTGCTATACTGAGCCCAGATGAACACCACTATATGACAGTCAGAAAAAAAAACAGGAGCTAAACTCATCACATGTCTCAGCATTCTAGTATTATACTGATTATATAGTCTCTGGCTTTATGTTAATGGGTTCTGAAAAACCCAAGGAAATGCTCTGCCACACACGTGCCCTGTTATTTGTTGTGAATATTGCCATGTAAATTGTATTCTTAAAATTCAACAATCACAAGCCCCAAACTGAGACCTGTCCATCTTCTAAGCAGTTCCAGGAAGTTTAGCTGTCACCATAAACTAAGATCACTTCATTTTTTAAATGAATACTTTATTGGCTATGTATTCATTAAATTCATAAATCAATGATCCAGGTGCTTGATATATGCATTTTTTTTTCTTTCTTTTTTTTTTCTGCCCATTCTGTTGGTTTTTGTCTTTTGCCCTTCTCCCCCGTCCCTCTTCTCAGCTGTGTCATGGTCCGGAGTCTGCGACTCCGTGTTTATGTTTAGTTTATTAGTATTCTGTGGTTTTGGTTACCTTGGGTGTTTGTACTCTTCTGTTTCATGGTTCATGTTCCTATGTTCTGTGTCCCCCAGTCTGTGTTTAGTTGGTGTGTTGTGTCATTGCGTGTATGTGTTTCCTGTTTTATTGTGAAGGTCTGCGTCTTATGTGAGTGTTTTCAGTTTGCCTCCCTACTCTCGTCACGTAATCACTCCCAGCTGTGTTCCCCACCTGTGTGTAATCTCCCTGTGTTCTCTGAGTGTATTTAAGTTGTATCTTCTGTCATGGTAGTTGCTGGTTCGTCTGTGTTGTTTCCCCTCGGTCTCCCTGCGTCTCTCCGTATGTATTTCCCCGGACCTCCCTGCATCCTCGTTTCTGGTTTGTCTTATTAGTTTACCCAGTTTAGGTTTCCAGTATCATGTTTTGTCGCCACCGCTGTTTGTACTTACCCACCCCTGTAAATAAACACTCACC